CCGTACAGTGGCCGCGAACGCGGTTCTAGTTATTTCTGGCGTCATGCCAATTGAGCTACTTGCTTACGAGCGAAAAGAGATTTACAATCTCAGTGCCGAGATAGGTCGAGCAGCTGCCGCGGCAAGGGCGCGCGAGCAACTGATCCAGCAGTGGCAACAAAACTGGAACGCGAGCACAAAAGGTCGATGGACACACTCCCTGATAGCCGACCTTCAAACATGGCTGAACAGACCACATGGGGAAGTCGATTTCTACCTGACGCAATTCCTCACCGGTCATGGTTACTTCCGAGAATATCTTCATAGAATGGGAAGGGTGGACTCACCGTTCTGTCACTACTGTGGAAACACTTCTTGATTTCGCGCAGAATGTTGGAAGAAAGACACGGAGACATAACTCCGAACAACATAGTTGGGATAATGACCTCCAGCGCAGAAAAGTGGGAAGCTGTTGCGAGATACGTGAAATTCGTACTCCGCTGCAAACGAGAGGACGGTTGTCTACTGAGGACAGCCGAATGAAACGCCCCTACAAAAGAGCAGCACAAGGCTCTAACAGCGCGCTCCTGCATCTGAAGACATGCAGAATTGCGGTGCCAGGTGTAAACCGGACTGCTATTGGAACAGACTATCTATAACATGATTTAATAATACAAGGTTCGATAAACTGACAGTTGTCTCTCTCGCACCGCTCCATTGGCAGTGGCACCGTATTGCTTCTTTGCAAATTTACTTGGAAAAAGTGTAGCTTTGCTGTGAAATATAAGTATAAGTTTTTGTGCAATATGTTTATTTGTATATGCATATGAAGCACATTTAACTGATAAAAACATAAATTGTTTTTAAATTGGATGCTTACATAAATCTCATAATAGTTTTATTTTAATCTTGAGTTACAGCTAAATAGCACGTAAATTACGTAATTCACGTAGATATATTAATATTTCGTTCAATATTTCATTTATAATGCCAGATTTCCTGCAGATACATTAGAATTTACAAAAGCAATTTCACTACTAACTGCCTGCTTTGCGTACTTTTCTACTACCATTTTCGCAAGCAGGGATTGCATTCTTCCCCTTTCTCTGTCCTTCGTAAATGCAACCTTTTGTAAGGAAGTGTCAAAGCGCAGCTGCCAGTAATTATCTAACCTTGTATTATTGAATCATGATTATATAAATAATAACAAAAATAAATAATAATTAATAATTAAATAATAACAAAATACAAATAATTTTGATATAAACAGTTTGCTACGCAAAGGCAACTGTTTCCGAAAAGCGCAAGATAAAAGGACATCGCAAAAGGAGCTGCTACTCAAAAAGTGACTGCAGCGGTAAATAGACGGCTAACTAGCGACGTTTTCGAGGCGATGGGCGATAAGGACGGCACTTTGAAAGTGCGTTTGCGCCCCCTGACTGCGGCAGGAATCAGGCAGCATACTGGAGTTGGTGGAGGAGAAGGCGACGAAGACAACGGCAAGTTAGGCAAGCACAGAGCTATACTTGCCTAAAAGTTCTAACAGCCGTGCGAGCGAAGAAGGGCACTGGAACCCTAAATCTGGTGACCAAGACGAATTTATGTAGAAGAGTTCAGCAGCAGGCAGCGAGGCGATTAGCGGTACATTTACACCGGCAGAAGTACGCAGCGGTAGCAACGACAGCGACGACGAGTGGCATCTAGACGAGATGGTAAGAGCGACCACGCCGATCGAGGTGTCTGATGACAGCTGTGACTAGCCAACGCAGTGGCGAAGAAGTGAGGACTGCCAACGCCCAGGTGAGGGTTACGTGGACTATGTTCGGCGCGTTACAGAGCACCGAATCGTGGCGGCAACCACTTGCGCAGGCGTTGTGCGAAGTAGTGGCTTCGACAGTAGCAACTGACATCCGAGACGATGAAGGCAGCGAAAAGCAGAATGCGCTCACCCTATTGGTGGAGGAATTCCGCAGGTTGGAGGAGTTACAAAAAGCCAAAGGAGCACAAACACAGAGCCAACAGACCCGATGATGGTTCATGAGATCTAGCGATGGTTACAAAAAGGCGCAGCACAGCCAAAAGCACTACCAGATGACTGGCGAAAATTCAGCGGCGTCGACCTGGTGCCCAAGTCCATCACTAAGGGTCTTCACAATTGGCCTTTAATTTTTATTTTTTAAACTTATGCATGCTAATACTATGTCTCCATTGTGAGATTTATTGAAGATTTAGCCCTCTGACGAGATTTGACGTTAAATCTTTTGAGATTTATCATATATAATTAAATCTCGAAAGGCAGTAGATTTAAGTTAAATCTTCGTCAAATCTTCAATAATATTGATCAAGAAGTACAATTTGTTGGATGTGGCAACCACAAATCCACATGCAATAAGTCAAATGACATTTGAGTTTTCAATATACAGTTGAGGACATTGAAATCTAGCCTATCATAAAAACATGAATTTTCGTATTTTTAGGGATTTTTATATTTTTTTGTTAGTTTGGGAGCAAAATTAGTAATACATATTTACATAATAAATTAAGAAAATATTATTTTAAAAACTAAAAATTTAGAAGAAATGTTCTATAGCAATATCATGCAGTGTCTTTTCCGCTTTCTATAAGTCATTTACGCGCTGCGACAAAAAATTTATAAACTTCGGTAATGGCTCTGCTTCGATAACATTGCACCGAACATTCTCTAGAACTCAGTTCGTATTCATGATATGCCAAAGGCCCACGATTGGATTTTCGGTTCCCTCCTATGAATAAGAGAGTTCTACAAAAATTTTTCTTTCCGCAAATGTTTTTTACCGTTTTGATAATTTTTCTTAAATTCGGGAAAATGATTCGGAATATGGTACCATTCTTTACACTTTCCAAACTATATATTATACATACATACATATTTACCACGAATAAGAAGCCAATAATATTCAGAATTCATATAATGAAATTCCGCTTGGTACCTTCCTTTTATCTGTCTGTATATCAATGTCCTCAATTGTATTTGTAAAATCATACATAAGTAAACGTCAAATATTTAAAAATGTGAACGTCAAACAGATCTCGTAATGGTAATGGAGACGGTTGTGATTTAGCAACTGGATTTATTAAATCTTAATGGATAAATCTCTCAATGGAGACATAGTATAAGTAAGCTTTTGAAAATTTATAATGGTTGTTATATGTACATACATGGATGGAGGATGGTTCCGTGCGCAGAAGTGGACAACTTTTGACTGCTATTCACCTGGGAATGGCCAGAAGCGATTCTTGTGCGTACGGCTCACATTGCAGCCCACAACGTCCAGATATTTATATCCACGTATCCTCTGGGTAGCAACCAATCATCCGTTTGGTGAGAAGGCGTAAAACTTCACGTGCGCTGGGTTTGGGTCCCGCCACGTTAAAACCCCGCCCAATGAAAGAGAACAAACAGCGTCGGATGAGACCCCCTTTTTTTTGAGGACGACCACGGCAAGCATCTAAAGGACTATGATTTAAGGGTATGCACCTGGAATATCCGGGGAAGGTGCCTCTGCCCGGCTGGTTGATGTCCTCGGGAAGACAAAGGCTGACATCACCGCCATCCAAGAAAAGCGATGGGCAGGGCAAAGAAAAGTAAGCGTGAAGCCATGCGACGTCTACTACAGTTGCCACGTAAAGGAGTGCTAATTCGGTGTTGGATTCGTGGTAGGAGAGAGGCTCCGTCGGAGAGTGCTGGCGTTCACCCTGGTGGACGAACTTCTAGCCACAATCCGCATCAAAGCTAGATTCTTCAACATCTCGCTTATCTGCGCTCATGCCCCGACGGAAGAGAAGGATGAGGCGTCCAAGGATCTCTTCTATGAGTGCTTGGAATGTACATATGAGCGCTGCTCCCGACACGATGTCAAAATCGTGCTTGGCGATTTTAATGCCAAGGTGGACAAAGAAGGGATCTTTGGTGCCACTGCTAGAAAATTCAGCCTCCACGACGAAATGTCCCATAACGGATTGAGGCTGATCGATTCCGCCGGGGCTCGAAACATGGTAATATGTAGTACCAGGTTTCAGCATAAGAACATACACCAAGCTACATGGCTGTCTCCAGATCGAAAAACGAGAAACCAAATCGATCATGTTGTGATAGACGGAAGGCATGCTTCAAGAATTTTAGACGGACGCACACTCCGAGGACCAAACATCGACTCGGACCACTACCCTTCAGGCAAACGGTGACAATTTGCCATAAAGTGTAAATTGACAGGAGAAAAGAGTGCCACTACGATGAGCAGTCTTGGTGATGCAGTGGGTATCAGTTCAGTTTTTGTTTACTTTCAGCATTCGTTAGCTCGTACGAAAAAAGCCGAATGGATAGGAGAAATACGGCGGCGAAATGATTAAAACTCCGCCTTTATAACCACGCGGAGGGCATCAAAAATACCAGAGACGGAAAATAAACATTCTTTTTTAAATTTTAACAAACAAAATTAACAAGTTTTAATCGTCGTAAAACAGTTTTAGCTATACTCACGTATTTGTGTTCCTAATAATAAATTAAAAATAATAACAATAATTAATATTTGACTAAGAAGAATATTTCAATTAAGAATAATGATCCTTCAGGAAAACTCAAAAGCTGTAGCAGCGTGATTTCCGTCGTATCCTTTTCAGAGGTAGCGACACCCTAATAAGAGGAATAAGTCCCAAAATTATCAGGTCACAATTTCTTGTAACCGGAAAGCGAAACCTAAATCAAACGCGTTTTTTTAGTCAGCCTATAGATTCGTTAAAGCTTTTAGGAATATGTTTAGTCGATGAAAATATTAATGACTTAGAGGAGAGTTTTCCCACATCCAAAAGTAAATACAAATGTATAGGCTTACCATATCAGAACAAAATTTTGTTAGTTCCAATCCTACATGGCTGCTTTTAAACAAACATAACTAAATGAAACAATCGAAAACCAAACTGCATGTACACATATATAAGTTATATAAAACTCTTACTAACCTTTTTTATCAACATTTTTCAAGGGAAATCCCGAAAATGCAAAATCGAGCATTGAAGCACCTTAACTCAAAGGACGAACTGATTCTACTCGAAGGTAAATATTTACTACTTTTAAGATTTCCAGGTTTTACGTATTAACTTCATTTTATTACAGGTGAAAAACGATGTGAAAATTGTAAAAGGTTAGGGGACAAAATTGATCAAAAATTCCAAGAACTAGAAGGTAAATGCATATTCAATGCAAAATAAGCTAATTGACATGTTATAGTTGTGTATTATTTAAGATGCCCCAAGATCGATGAATCTTCATCGATCGACATACAATTTTTCATGCGTGCTTTTTTATACACAACGGTCATTTACTTCAATAGTGTTAAGATATAATAATAAAAAATCGAGTTAAGTAGCGGAAACGAACGCTACTTCTTCTTCTGTGTGGTGTAAAAATGTCATAGCTGTACCGATTACCAGTTATTCACTGGAAAAAAATATGTATTCATTTGTACTATGGAAGTATATGTAAATTAAAAGCTTTACAGCCATTTTTTTATCGAGTTTTCGGTTTTTTGAGTTATGACAATATTGAAGTAAATGATCGATATATTTAACGAGCTTCTGGCCCTTTTATATTTCCGGTGAAATTTTTGATATTTCGAAGCAGCTTAATACTCACATTGCCCAAAGTTCAAAGAAATATTTATTGTATTTTTATTAAAACTATTTCCGATCGTTTTTTCCAGATAGAATGAATCATCAAAGTTATCACACCTCTAATCCCAATACTAACCAATGGCGCACCCTTTACTCACGTTGCCGTGCATGTGACTTCTTCATTGCCCCAAATAGCACTTTCGCTGACTTAGCACACGCGCAAGCGATCGGTAATGGTCTGATTATGCATACTTCGCATAACTTCGCACAACTTCGCATAAACTTCAAACTGTAATTTCGTATGTACTTTGTATGTATTTTGTATGTATTCCGATACCCAGAAATTAGCAGAACTTTTATGAACTTAGTGATCTGTTGAGTTTAGATTTTGCTTCACATTTTCTTAAGTAAATAATAAGCAATATTGGCCTACACGCGCAACTCATCGATTACGAAATGCGGTTGGTGGTGGGATCTGCAACGTAGACATAAGTAAGTTAGACTAAGGGCCGGTTACTCAATGTCTGGTTAACACTAATCTCCGGTAAAACATCGTTGTCGACGTTACCCACTCCATGTTATATGCATGGAGCCGAATAATGATGTTTAAACGGAGATTAGTGTTAACCAGACATCGAGTAACCGGCCCTAAGAAGTTAGTTGGTAAGAAATGAATATTGTTCGAATCAGTTGAATGAGGGAGTGCAACCGGTGCACAAGGAACCTGTCTATTGTGAATCAAATTAATTTGTATATTTCCTTTTGAGTGCAACCAGTGCACAATAAACCTATCTTTTTGTGAATCAAATTAATTTGTGTATTTCCTTTGGTCGGTGAACAGTGAGTTCACCGCAACTTTAATTTTTTATCAGTTCTCCTTCCGAGAACTGTAAGTGGCGCCCGAGCAATCGGGTGCGAAGTGGACAGAAGGAAAAAAAAGAACAAATAAAAAATAAAAAGTAAACTTGACTAAGCGAAACTGAAGTGTTTACAAGATACAAATTTCTAATAAAGGCCGAAAAAAGTAAACTTGACTAAGNGAATACGCGCCAACGTGATGTTCTCAGCTTCAGTGTAATTCCGCGAATGCTTTATTTTCCTCTTCTTAGTATACACATTCTTTTGACACTTACAACTAAATCGCCAATAGATGGCAGTACACTGTTTATCATAACTACACATAACCCAGTATACCACAATACCCCCCACTTATATTAGGACCACGTCCAAATGTTAATCCTAGCTTATATCTAATGGTCTTTTTCCGTAATTCAGATATCTAATCCTTTCTTGTTCTTGCTAATTTACAAAATTCGATTTTTTTTTGTAGTTCCATTCATATGTATATTATTCCTTATAATTAATTTTATTCCTTTTTCTTAACTCCCTACGGCCCTGTCCTATATCGTCGTTTACCTCCTCATTTCCACCGTCAGTACCGACACCAGCCACGTTCGTTGTTTTAGACCCCTCTTTCTCGTTGCCTCCCGTCGTATCTGCCGTGTTCGCTAATACCGCCTCGTTTGGTTCCGTGACGCCCGGAATGATTTGATCTAGATGCCGAAGTATGGTCTGATTGCGAGTCAATATACAGCCATAATNTTGATCTAGATGCCGAAGTATGGTCTTTTGATTGCGAGTCAATATACAGCCATAACTTCAAGGTCCTGCTCCTTTACTAACATAGCTCCTATTGACTTCTTGAACGTTTTCACGAAGTTCTCCGCCTGGCCGTTTGTGGCAGGGTGACCAGATGCAGTTAAAACATGTTTTATGTTGTTGGCTTCTAAGAATATTTTAAATTCCGTGGATGTAAACTGACTACCATTGTCACTTACTAACACATCTACTAGCCCATACCTGCAAAAAACTTCGCGTAAGCGTGAAATAGTAAAGCTAGTGGTAATATCCTTTGTTTTGAAAATCTCTACCCACTTGGAGTACGCATGAATTACTATCAAAAACTGGAAATTGTGCACCGGACCTGCAAAATCCACATGGATTCTGGACCAAGCCCCATCTTCTGGTGCCCAGAGTATGAGTTCACTTTTTGGTGGGCTGGGCTGGCAGAACCTACAAGGTGCGCAGTTAGCGATCATTCGCTCTATATCTTGGTCCATTCGGGGCCACCAAACATATGACCTAGCTAAAGCTTTTGTCTTCACTATGCCCAAGTGAGAGTAGTGAAGCTCGTTTAAAACCTTCGACCGAAGTTTGATGGGCACAACTACTCTATACCCCCATAATAAGCAATTATATTCTACCGATAGTTCGTTACTCCTGCTTATGAATGGAATGTATTCCTCGCCTTTTAATGCTTGTAGGCTACCGCTATTCAGGGCTTCGCATACCTTCGACAAAATTAAGTCACGCCTAGTCTCCATAGAGACCTTTTTAAAATTCAGATTAAGCTGATTATTAGTGCTGATAAACCCAACGTAACCACCTTCTACGCTGTTTCTTACTGATGCTACTTGCGGAAATCTCGAAAGGTGGTCTGCGAAGTTTGTAGACCCCTTTATATGCCTCACCGAATAGTTAAACCCTGATAGAATAAATGCCTATCTTTGCAGTCGCGCCGCCGCCATAACAGGTAAACCTTTGTTCTCTCCAAAAATTGCAACTAACGGCTTATGGTCTGTCTGCAACTCGAAATGGTTTCCCAAGAGATACTGTCGGAGTTTTCCCACGCTATATATTATGGCTAATGCTTCCTTCTGTATGGTACTGTAGTTTCTTTCTGCCTGCGTTAAGGCACGTGACACAAATGCGATTGGTCTGTACTCTCCACCAGCGCATAAATGAGATAAAACGCCGGCTACCGCTACGTTAGATGCGGAAGGTTGGCATCAAAACGCACTAAAACAATATCAGACGTAATCTCCTTTTTTAACAAGTCATACGACTCTTGACACGACTTTGTCCACGCAAATTTCACACCTTTTCTCAATAACTCGTACAGTGAATTAATTTTGTGGGCAAAATTGGGTATAAACTTAGCGTAATAATTTGTCATACCTATGAACTCCCGAACTTCTGATACATTCTTAGGGCAAGGCGCTTCCAGCACCGATGAAATTCTCTCCTTACTTTTTCTTAAGCCATGCTTTTCTATTATGAAACCTAAGTATGCTACTTGTTCCTTGAAAAATTCCGACTTCCCTAGGTTTAGCCTTAACCCGACCGACTTAAGCTTACTTAGTACCGCCTCTAGTGCTTCTAAGTGCGCTTGAACATTAGGGCCACCTATGATAATATCATCTAAATAGTTTATTACGTTTGGAATGCCACGTAATAGATTTTCAATACTCCTTTGAAATATTGCCGCGGCGGGCTTAACCCCAAATGGCAATCTCGTTACCTCAAAAACTCCAAGGTGCGTACTCCAAGCGCACAGTAGCTGTAAACCTTCCTCAAGAATCAGCTGATTATAGGCGTTGGATAAATCCAACTTAGTGAAAAGTTCCCCCTTTAAAGTAGCAAATATTTCCTCGATTCGCGGCAACGGGTACTTGACATCGGCTAAAAACTTGTTAATGGTAGACTTATAGTCCCCACATAATCGCAATTCACCGTTTGACTTAAGGAGCGGCACCAGCGGCGTCCCCCAGTCAGAGGTTTCTACCTGCACCAAAACACCCTTATTTACCAGCTGATTTATTTGCTGCTCTACCTTTTCTTTCCACGCCAATGGCACCGGCCTTGGCTTACAGAAAATAGGTGTAGGATTACCTACCAGACTCAATTTGACAGTATGCTCCCGGTATTCGCCTAGTTCTTCCTTAAATACCTCACTAAAGCGCGATTTAATCTGTTCTAGGTGGTTGTTTACTACGATAATCGAATTAACTCTAGCTAGTCCTATGCCGAATTTAACCATGAAATCGCGACCCACAATACTTGGCCCAGACGTATGACACACTACTACCTTCAGCCTATGCGACTGTCCTTCATACTCAACTAAAGAATAAAACTCACCGACCACGTCAATGCTCTCTCCATTATACGTTGTTGCATGTTCTGTTTTTGTACTTGCAGTCTTCGCTTGTATGGTTTTTCCAACCGCAATGGACACACTTCTTGTTATCTCCCTTGCTGCTGTTATTTTTGCTGAACCGACTATTACTTCTACTTTGTTGCTCACGTTTTGTCACCCAGATGACCGCACTCAGCTGCTGTTTTGACTTACATCTTTCTTCAACCATCATCGCTCTTCTTATCGCCTCTTCCAAAGTTAGTCTTTCGTCCTCCTCACACAATCTTTCGAACGACGGGCCATCTTATCCCGTAACAAATTTATTTAAAACGAAATCGTTCAATTGGCTGCCAAACTTGCAGTCTCTTGCTAAACTTTTTATCCGAGCATACCACTGCGTTACCGACTCAGTCTCGCCTTTCGTGGCCTCGAAAAATTTTCGGCGCTCTCGATATATTACAACGGGTTTTGCATAGTGCCGTTCTAGAAGTGTACATAGCTCGCCATATGTCTTGCTTGCCGGCAACGTGGGGTCACATAGATCACGTAGCAATCCATACGCCTCGAGCCCCACGGCTTTCAATAAAATCGATGTTTTGATTTTCTCCTCGACGCATGATGTTTCAATAAAATGCGAGTCTAAGAGTTCCTTCCAGTTACGCCAATTATCCATGCTGGGTCTGAACTCCCGCACGCCCGTAGTTAAACTTGTGGTGATTAAACTTTCATTCATGGTTTCGTTTACCATGTTTGCTTGTTATTAAGCGTACTCAATTTGGCAATAATCAAACGCGTGACACTGCGTGGAAGTAATACTTCTACAAAATTCTATAGTGTTTTATTTAAAACCTGCAGAGTTCGTATTTTCAGAGCTCGTCGCCACTGTGATGTTCTCAGCTTCAGTGTAATTCCGCGAAGGCTTTATTTTCCTCTTCTTAGTATACACATTCTCTTGACACTTACAACTAAATCGCCAATAGATGGCAGTACACTGTTTATCATAACTACACATAACCCAATATACCACACTAAGTGAAATTGAAGTGTTTAAAATATACAAATTTCTAATAAAGACGGAAAACAAATTAAACGGTCAAAAACTGAGTAACCTATTTAGTGAAAAAAGACAAAAGAAATATTAAACGGTCAAAAACTAAATCACTTATTTAGAGAAAAAAAAGCAAAACAGCTCACCAAATAGAGAAAGCTAAAAAAGCAAATAGTTTATTAGCCCAATGAGATACTGGGGTTTGTGAGTATAATCTAATCACTGTATATTTCCCTTTTATTTTTCTATTTTTGCAGTAAGGAAGTCATGGACTCTGAGGAAATCAGAAAGTCACTAACGGAGACGAATGGGGCTATCAATGCCATTCTCTCCCAACTGAAGAAAATCGACCAACGGCTCAAAAGTGTGGAGTCGAAAAAGCACGACGAGTCTTTTTCAGGGCTCAGTAGTAATCTGGAGAGGCTAGAAGCCCAAGTAGGGGAAGTGCGTAGGCAGTCCTTGGATAGCAGGCCAGAACCGGTTGTAGAGCCGCTAGTCAGTCCTCGGACGGAGGTCGAGCTAGCGGAGGTGGCTAAGCTG